GGGGAAAAAAACAATGCTGTGTGACATACAGAAGATGATGAACTCTGAAGTGAGCATATCCACAGGTGGTTTGAAGAAGCTAATTCAGGCACATCATGACGCCGATCAGTCGGTTTTGACACACCAGCCATCATGTCCGCTTGCTGCCACGCTTGACCTGTTATTGGACTTGTATTGTTTTACTAAATAAATGTTTGCTGGCCCTAAAAGCCCTTGAGATGAATCATGAGGTAAAGAGCAATTGTTATAGCTCAGGCAGTTTTTCTATGCTGGATGGCAGCTGGTAAACTGGGTTGATTTAATGTTGGGGAGTTTCTCCTCTCTCAGTGCCCCAACCTTCCTGCTTCACCTCTTCTGACTTGCTCTCTTCCATTTCCATCCAGGGAAATAATCTATAGCAAAAGAAAAAAGAAAAAAAACAGTTTTTTTAGGTGATATATTTGTTGGATATTAGTTACTGACTTATCAGATATATCACACCAGCACTGTAGTCTAGTAATGTCTGCAGCTGCAAGGGGCTCCAATTTGTCAATCCCCCACACAGTGATGGGATAGATAATGGTAACCATTTTTAAAGCACACATGATTTTTTATTTGTTTTCTTTTTTTTTTTGTATTCGTGCTGCCCCCTGTAAGTCATTGGGGGAAAAATTCCACCCTGACCAGGTGTCCTGTTCACCTGTTCCATAAATCACTATAGATATAGCACATGATTTCTGTCTGATTTATTTTTATTAATTGGTTTTAACTGTTCATATGTGGGGGGATTGTTTTTCTTTACATACCTTTTTTAATATCCAATATTTAGAAACTGAAATTGTGAATGTTATTGCTAGCACTGCCAGCTGTTTCTATTTTATACTTAAAAAATTATTTGTACAAAAGACTAGAATTAAGATCCTTTTATTTATTTTTTTACCTTAACTGAATTACAAAAGGTTGTGACTTATTTCCCCCTCGAAAGGATGCACAAATTAGACAATTGGGAAAGGAAGAAATGGGACTCAGTCCAACGATTCTGCATTTTTTGTGATTTATTCCTCTCGAAGAGCTGAAGCAACCAAAATCCATCTTTTTTCTTGATATCCCCTATATTTATCTCTCCATTTCCTGCTCTCCTCACTTATCTACTTCCACTGTGCTCATCAGCCCAACTCACTCTTCCTCTCATCTCCCCAGCTCCAGTCAGTTCATCCTGGTGGGAGGGCCCCCTTACTGAAAACCAGCTCTTACCACCTCCTTGTAACAGCGGCTTTGGTGACAATATCAAGAGTAACCACAGCAATTATGCACACAAAATATCCACAAACATGGAGGGAAAACCGCAATTAAAGGAACGCTGTTAGTGAGGCCAGAAATTTGATTTCACTCTGGAGGACAACAACAAATGATAAATACTCTCTGTAGGGAACATCGGAATGAAAGTTGCGGTGAACGTAATTAGTGAACACTTAATGTAAATTTGTGTTAAAAAAAATTATAAAAACACATTGAGCAATTGTGTATGTTTAGGAAAACACATTTAAGCTTTATGTAAAATTTTTATAGTATTATACCTAATAGGAAATGTGCTGTAGGAACATACAGGATGTGCACAAAATCTGGGTCATCCACAGAGGTATAACTGAGTAAGTGCCTACACTAAAAAAAAATCAAGCTAATATCTGTTTTCCAAGAAAATTAGCAGGATAAAGCTTTCTTCTTGGCTGAGCTCCACAATGTTCCCTTGACATCAATTTACTCATCAAGTAAAAGAGCCAAGAGATTTATTTGGCTAATGGAAGATTATAACCAAATACTTTATCCATCAGCATATTCTTCATTGTATTTAGGTAAATTAACTACTTATGATATAAAAATGCAGTTTGTATCTGTTGGTGAGATCTTTATGCCCTACTGCAGTTAACTCTGCGAAATATGTTTATCATTAAACACAGCAATTTACTTTATTTGGATTTATTTTCTGGTTTTTACACAACTTTGCTCCACGTTGCTTTAAAATGTTTGTATGCTAAAAAAAGGTTGAAGCTTATAACCTTATTTAAACTAATTTAAAGAGACAGGCCTCCTGAGTCTAAAACAAGTATATCTATTTATCCGTCATCTTATATAAAGTTTTTAGATGTAAGGTAGACAAAAATACACAAGCCTTAGCAATATCTGCAGATGTATATGACATGTTTGGAGGCGTGATAACAACCCCACCGACTCTTAAGTGTGTGTATTTGTTATTTGGGGTGCCTCATATAGTTATAGTTATGAAGTCAACCAGCTGTTCATCAGCATTATTTGATTTGATTGCTGCTTTCCTAGCTTCATTATAATTGGTAACGTTATTTTTTACAGCACATCAATAACCATGTAATAACATAATATTTGTCGGGAAAAGGAAAAACTTAATGGGGAATTTTGATAAATGCTGTGCTTCAAATTTTAATCAGACAATGTAATGTCAGACTTGAAGATTTCAAACCGTTATTACCAGGTAACTCATTAATTTCACCAACAGCAATAAATTAATGTGTTATTATTAAGTAAGATGCAGTTTATTACTTGTAATATAACTGAAAGCAATCTTTATATGTAACTTGAATTCTGTTTTAGAATGCTTTAGTTACCTGATCATAAGTTACAATTTACTTTGTAAACCATTGGTAGGTGGTAGACAATAATAGAAACTGTTATGTGGTTACCTAATTGTAATTACCCACCAAAAGTCTCCATTGTTACATAGTAACATACAATTGTAATAATTACATGCAAATAATTACTTTAAAATTATACACCTTAATTTTGGGGTACTTACCAAATATTTTTTTTCTTGTCACCAAGTAATATAGTGTGACTTGCTATGTTATTACCATGTTATTACATGGTCATTGATGTTCTGTAAAAGAAAACATTAGCGATTAAGTTTATTTAGTTACGTTTTTAAAACAGGAAAAGAATAAAGTAATTTGGCCTGCCTCAGCATAACTTCTGTTTGAAGGTGAGATTCTGTTCAGCAGAACATGGAAAAATACACAGATATCCAACATCACCTCAGCACATTGTAAGCAACATGGACATACCAGATTACCATTTAAATTTCACACAAGACAGTATGACATTGCAGGTACCACTCACTGGTTACGATTAAAGGCTTTTAGTAAATGGCGCTCAGTGATGTTTTTAATAAGTGCCAGCATTGAGGCATTACTACCTAATACGCTTACTTAATACCAATTTTAAACTCATTAAAGCAGGGGTTCCCAAACATTAATTTCCAAACCCAAAATTAAATTGGCGGAGACTGTTGACCCCATTTTGGCGATCTGTTAAACCTTTACTTCAGTATATTATTCCCATTTTAAAAATACAGAAAAGGGTTAATAAATACAGAATGAAATACTTATATATATATTTTTGAATAGGATTATATCCAAAATATGAAATGAACTAATTTGAATAATTTAAAATGCATATTTAATAATTTAATGATACATTTATTCATTACTTTATTTATTTATACATATACATTTTTTTTTCTATTTGTCCTTCAATACATCACAGAGGTCACATCACAGTGATTCTGAAAATCAACAAAAAATTTTGTTTTAATTTAAGGCCATGTTTATAAGGATATGGAAAGTAAACATCACTGGTCATTGCAAGAATACATTACAGCGAAATATGACATACAGTATGCATTTAACCCATCCCATAGGGGGATTGAAAGTGGGGGAAATAAACTTTCTTAGGGAGTCAGAGTAGCAGGCTGTGGGGTTTGAACCAGGTACTTGCCTCCTTCTCAGAATGGAAGCACTCTGCTCTAACTAGTAGGCCACATTCCCTTTATTTACATATGAATATTTAAGAAAAGAATCATCTCCTTTGACATTGAGATGCATCAACATCAGTAAGATCACTTAGGTTATTTGCTGTGTTCCCTCTTTTTATATAACATCCATATGCAGTAAACCTCTCAGTTTAACATTAGACCAAATTGATTCAGATGATTGATCAGACCAGCAGGATAATTGGCTATAATCATCTATCTTTCCAGGAAATGAATGAATGATCCATCCACAAGAAAGATATAATCATCTTCTTCACTTATTGTTTCTGGTATTGTCATTTTGCTGAAGTTCCAATAACATTGTCTATAAATGTTAATGTGTTAAATGTCTGTATTTGTATTTAGGGACAGATACTTCCTGTGGATACAATGAATATGGAGAGCCAAAGCAAAAAAGCTTTCCATCTAAACAAAAGTAATAGTATTAAATGTTTTATCCAATAAATTCGGCTTTAACTTTTCTAAGATATTGAATCAAATCACATAGAAAATTACTTTATCTTCACATTCAGGAGGCATTACTCTCTTTCTAATTTCAGCCTACTGACCTTTGCCTTAAATTCCTGACAGAACCTTATGTAAGAGTTTTATTTTTTTATATTTAGATGCCACACAAAATATTTATGTTGTTTGTAATGAGGGTTTTTGTGAACTGACCATATATGGACACAACATACTTAGGTGTCTGGGTGATGTTCTGCTTTTTTCACCTGCTATTTTTCTTCATTTTACAGCCACAGCCCTCAGACTTGTATGGAATCATAAAAACAATAGCATTTTTTGTTTGAAAAAAAAAAAAAAGAAGTCATTCAGTAATTAGAAAGCTTTTACATCAGAGCTGGTGCTCCACATGACTCAGCATCTGTGGTTTAATTTGAGATAGATAAGTCTCGCAGGTTATATGAAAATGAGCCAGAGGACTGCGACGAGACTAAACTGCTGATTAAATGGATTATGTTTTACATTGTAGAAAAGACATTTACTTAGATTTGCTGCTGGTATCTATAATCATGAAGCCAGTCTGATGAGAGAACTCTGCCAGAAGAGGTTCATCATAAAGTTAGCTTTTTTTTTTCTTTTCTTTTTTTCCCAAACAGCTATTAAGAATCGTCCCATTCTTTTTACTGACTTGACTCTCGCCGTGTCCTTACTGTCCCCGCAGCTATTCGTCATAGACAACGGAGCAGACGACTGGCGCATTGCCATGACCATGGAGAGGGTTCTGCTGATTGCCCTGGAGCTGCTGGTGTCTGCAGTGCACCCTGTGCCAGGGGACTTTAAGTTCCACTGGCGGGCACGGCTGGCCTTCTCATATACGCCTTCACATGCCGAGGCTGACCTGGACATGGTGCTGAGCGTGCCCATGTTCCTGCGCCTCTACCTCATCGCCAGAGTCATGCTTCTGCACAGCAAACTCTTCACTGATGCCTCCTCTAGGAGTATAGGTGCCCTAAATAAGGTTAGAAAACTTCAGTGGATTCAAGAGTGTGGTTTCCTTCAAGGTTTAACTCGACTTAAGTGTGGAAATCTTAGGCCACAGATGTCAAGAGCTTCTGTCTCTTATTATAAGAGCTTCTTCCTCTATTTTGCACTCCTGTTCATAAGTTTTTTTCATCAGGTTGTTGTTCCTCTCTGTATTTGTTGTGCTTAGAGCCTAAGACTTAAGCTTTTGTGAATTTTTCATAATACAGTATGAGGCGAGAGTATCGAATGAGAACATGTTATTGCATACGGCTCAGAGGGCCCATAAAAAACTGAAGACTGGAATGAATTTAGAAAATGGAAATGGGGGAATAACTGAGCAAATCATGCAAAAAATTGATGTCTCTCAAACTGTTGGGCTGCCTTTAGTGGTACTTCAACAGTCGCTTGATGATTTTATCCATCTTTCTATTATTTGTAAGGTTGAAATTAACACATAAATTTGGTTGCAGAGCTAATAACCAGCAAAAGTCAAAAAGAAAAATTGAAATGAGAAACAACTGCAGAGTAGTGAATAAAGCATATAGCAGTTAACTGAGTCCCATATATATATAAAAAAAAAAGGATGTGAGCCTGACATCACACCAAACCTATTGATGTTATTGTTCAAAGCAAGAGAACCAGTGGGATTTGGGGAAGGATAAGATAAGTGACCAGTCTCTCTAGAAAATTATTTACAAAAAATAAAAATAAAAACTAACAACATATTTCTCAGTATCTGGAAGCTTAAACTCTCTAGCATAATGTTTATTAGGAAATTATGTGAAACATTTACCAAGATGCATTTTGAGAGAAGTGCAGATACATTTTTTTAAGTGTGGAATAAGGAAAAACTTCAGACCCTAAGTTTTGTCTGTTTGTTTTTTTCCACCCACAAACTCATGGAATGTCTAGAAGAATATGGAACCTGATTTGATCAATTGTGAAAATTCATATATGGAATAATATTTGTTTCCTGCCCCATTATCAACACGTTAAATCCATCCATTTATCCATCCTCCCATTCATTCATCCATCTATCCATCCATTTATCCATCCATTCATTCATCCATCTATTCATCTATCCCTCCATCCATTCATTCATTCATCTATCCATCCATT